AGTTTCATTCTTCTACAGGTGGAGATCCAGTTTTGCCAGCACCATTTATTTAAAATGCCATCTTTCCTCCATTGTGTGTTCTTGGCATCTTTGTCAAATATCAGATGGATGAAACTGCGTGTATTCAGGTGTACTCTGGTTTGGGCCTTCAATGATGTTCCATTGATCTATGTTTTTGTCTTTTTTGTGTGCCAGTACCATGCTGTTTCTATGACTATAGCTCTGTAGTATACTTTGAGATCTGGTATTGTAATCCCACCAGCACTGTTCTTTGTGCTCAGGGTTGCTTTGGCTATCTGGAATCTTCTGTGCTTCCACATGAATTTAAGGATTTTTTTTTCTAATTCTGTGAGCTATGTCATGGGGATTTTGATTGGGATTGCATTGTTTTTGGTAGGATGGTCATTTTCAAAACGTTAATTCTTCCAACCCATGAGTATGGGAGGTCCTTCCATCTCCTGGTGTCTTCCTCAATCTCTTATTTAACGATCTAAATTTTTCATTGTAGAGATCTTTGTTGTCTTTGGTCAGATTTATTCCAAGATATTTTATTTATTTATTTTGCAGCAATTGTTAAAGGGAGCATTTCCCTGTATTCTTTCTCCAATTGCTTATTATTAGTATATAGAAAGGCTATTGATTTTTATAGATTTATTTTATAACCTGCCACTATACTGAAAATGTTGATCAGTTCGAGGAGTTTTCTGGTGGAACTTTTGGGATCTCTTAGGTATAGTACCATATTATCTGCAAAAGGTGATAGTTTGACCTCTTCTTTTCCAATTAGTACCCCCTTAATTTCTTTCTCCTGTCTTATTGCTCTACCCAGAGTTTCAAGCACTATGTTGAAAAGGAGTGGAGATAGTGGATATCCTTGTCTGGTTCCTAATTTTAATGGGAATGCTTCCAGTTTTTCTCCATTTAGAATGATATTGGCTGTGGGTTTGTTGTATATAGCTTTAATTATGTTGAGGTATGTTTCCTCCAGTCCAATTCCCTCTAGGACTTTGAACATAAATGTATGCTGAATTTTGTCAAAAGCCTTTTCTGCGTCTCTTGAGATTATGATGTGGTTTTTGTCTCTGAGTCCATTTGTATGATTTTAAAAATATTTTATTATTTTTGCTTTTTTATGTGTATGAGTGTATTCCTGCATGTATGTGAGTGTACCTGTGTTCTGCAATGCCTCAGAGGTCAGAAGAGGGCTTCGGATTCCCCTGGAACTGGAGTCAAGGACGGTTCGTAGCTGCCATGTGGGTGCTGGGAATTGAACCCATGTCCTCTGCAAAAATAGTCAGTGCTCTTAACTGCTGAGCCATCTCTCCAGCCCCCCATTTGTATGATTAATAAGGTTTATTGACTTGCAAATATTGAACCATCCCTGCATCTCTGGGATAAAGCCTAGGTGATCATGGTGAATGAGCTTTCTGATGTGTGTTTGTATGTGGTTTGCAAGTATTTTGTTGAGAATTTTTGCATCTATGTTCTTTAAGGATATGGGTCTGTAGTTTTCTTTTTTGGTTGTGTCTTTACCCTTTTGGGGTATTAGAGTGATGCTGGCTTCATAGAAGGAATTTGGGAGTTCTCCTTCTGTTTCTATCATTTTGAATAATTTAAGTAGTATTGGTTGGAGGTCTTCTTTAAATGGCTGGTAGAATTCTCCTGTAAATTATCTGTGCCTGAGCTTTTTTCAGTTGGTAGGCTTTACATTACTGTTGCTATTTCCTTATGTGTGTAGGTCTGTTTAAACTGTTGATCTCTTCTTGGTTTAACTTTGGTGGTTCCCATGCTTTTACATAGCCATCAAATTCTTTTAGACTTTCAAATTCAGTAGTGTATAGGTTTTTTTTTAAATATTGCCTTATAATGGTTTGGATCTTTTGGGTGTCTGTTGTGATGTTTCCCCTTTCATCTCTGATTTTATTGATTTGGATTTGTTTTTTCTATCTTTTGGTTAACTGGGCTAAGGGTGTGTATCTTGTTTAGGTTTTCAAGGAACCAGCTCTTAGATTCATTGATTCTTTGTATTGTTTTCATTTCTATTTCATTAATTTCTGCTCTGATTTTTGTTATTTCTTGTCTTTTGCTGGGTTTAGGTTTCATTTCTTTTGCCTTTCCAGCATCTTGAGTTGCAGGATTAGGTCAATTTATTTGACTCTTTCTAATTTTTCCTTCTTAGGACTACTTTTAAATTGTCCCAGAGGTTGTGTTGTGTTGTGTTGTACTGTCCTTTTGGTTGAATTCCAGGAATTCTTTTATTTCTTTCTTAATTTCTCCTTTGACCCACTCATTGTTTAGGAGTGTGTTGTTCAATCACCAC